AAAATGAAAAAGTTTTTGAAGGGGGGGGGGGGGGGTGTTTGTGTATTGCTCACATGTACAGAATTTAACTATGTTTAGCAAAAGAAAAGTTTAAAGAGGAGATGGTTTTAATTTTTAAGTTTCATAAGTACTGTCCTGTTTGCCCTCAGTTTCTAAATTCTGCTTGTTTTTAACAATGGTAAATTTACTTGGACTAAAAATGTAAAACTATTAATAGAATGCATTGCTCTGACTAAATGAACTGTTATGTGGCTAACATTTTTCTTCTATTTCTTTGTCATTGCTAAGATTTTTTTTGTTGTTGTTCTCTCCAATACTGGGGTTTTTTTAGCTGTCTTTGTTTCTCTTGTTACAGTTGGTACCAAAAGCCCCAAAGTACAGCTCTGTGACTTGAAGTCTGGATCCTGTTCTCACATTCTACAGGGTACTTTTTAGTCTGAAACATAAATGTTAAACAATAACTACTTTGAGTAAAACAAGTCCTGTAAAGAAACACTGTGTACAATGTATTCTTTGTAAGTAACATGACTAATTTATTTATTGCCAGTTGTAAAAGTTACACAGCAGCAAAAGGTTCTTCTGGGTGTTACTCTACTGCTAATAAATTCGAAAATACAAATATAAATTAGCAGTTATTACAAATGTTTGGGCATTTCCATGACCTAATCAATAGTGATTACTATTTATTACATGCTTAAATGTAGGCATTGGTTTTCTGTTCATGGAAATTCAATGTGGGGTGTTGCTTTAAAAAAAAACAAACCACAAAAAACAACCAAAAAAAACCCCCCCTTCACTATTTTTAACAAAATATGCTGTGGAGGTGCTTGCAGGGATTTGTTTAGATGTTTCTTTATAACAAGCAAGATACTACTTGCTATAGAAGGGCAGTATCTAATCCTTTGCATTTTTTTAAATTCGGTAAACATAGGGCTTTATTGTTGCATAATCCATTACTTTTTGCGCTTAATGAGATTTTACCCTTAATGTCTCTTTTCGTAATGTTTACTTTTTGGAGTATGAGTCTATATACACGTGCTCAAGTGAAGGCAATTACAGGGTAAATCATCATGCTTCAAATCAGCAGGGCAAGAGCCAGATCTGATCTACCAACTGTACGGAAATGTTAGCTCAGACACAGCAATGTGCAAATGCAGCTCTCTTTCTTCACAGGCCAGCTTAAGTTTAAAAGCAGCCTAGGTGCTTTCATGTGATGCAGAGCTCAAGCTAGTAAGGCCTTCTGAACTGCATCAGCCACAATGGGTGTCTCAATGCTCTGGTTTTAGAAATGAGAGCACCAGTGCAGACTCAAAAATAGTTGTCTAGTTCAGCAGGACTTCTTAATTTTGATGGAAAAGTTAGTGTTTTCCAGGCACAAGCTGGTTGTGTCTTTGTACACAGCCTAGTACAGTTAGCTCAAATGCAATATCAGAGGAAGAAGTGGAAGTAGCTTATGTCCTCCACTAAACATAATCTAGTAATTCTTTACAGAACTTGAAGCACTCAGTAGTATCTTGAAAATAGTTATTTTTCAAATAGGCTAACTCTATCAGCTGAAACGGAGCTAAAGTGCTTGGCTGTAGTTTACTTAATGGATCCAAACAAATGTTTCTGCCCCGAGCCTTCTGACTGTATGCTGTAGTACCTGTATTACGGAGATTTTTTTCCATTATCCTGGGCATCATAACCCTTTGATTACTTCAGGTTATGGAAAACCAACTACTAGAAGATGTACCACAAACAAAATGGTTCACCTTGCTCTCAACTGCATTAGCGAAAATGTATTTGTATAACTTAGTTTATTTTTTCAGCAATGTCTTTATTACATGAAGCATGATTGCAATCTTTCCATTTAGGAGACCTTACACTTCCTATTGTCTGTATTTGTCTTAGAACTTTCCAAGTTTTAAAGTGTGTGTGTGTATGTATGTATGTATATGTATTACTTGCCACTCAGCTGCACTGGGTGTGACATTGCTAAGAAGACATTTGTCGTACTATCAGGACAAGAGTACTTGAGGATAAGCTGAATAAAGTTTTAATCTTAAGTACGTAAGGTAAATATATTTTTTATTAAACATTTTGACAGGACTTGAAGAAAAACAAATGGAAAGTTCCTTCTGCATGTGAGAACATCAGTGGTAGCACACAATTTTATAACAGTACTTAACAGCAACTCAGTAGCTGTGACTGTGCTATTATATGTTTTGCATGGGTAAAACAGTCTTTGTTGTCAAAAGTTACACACGTATAGTACTCCATGTATCACTTTTAGCTCACTGCAATCCCACTTGAGCAAGAGGAAGAAATAACCTCTAGCCCAAAATAATATATTTGCACAAAATTCAAATTCATGTTACAATTTAGATTATTGTTCTGGACTGGTGGATCCTATAGAACTAAGTATTTGCTTTTACTTTTAGTTATTTATATAAAATGGTTTGTATAAATAATTTCCTATAAGGTCATATAAGCTTTTTCATATAATTTTTAGGTCACAGGCAAGAAGTACTGGCAGTGTCTTGGTCCCCACGTCATGAATATATTTTGGCAACAGCAAGGTAGAGATGTTGCTGGACTGTTATATGCACTAAAAATGTCTGATGGTAAAATTCAATATATTCATTATGCATGCTTTTTAGAATTCAAATGCACTTTTAAAGTTAATCTTTATCATTTACTTTAACCTCTTCACAGTCTTGTAGATCTTGCTTAGAAAAACTAAGCCTGAAAAGGTATCAGTGATGCTTATTTTATAGGAAAATTGAACAGAATTTTGAAATAGTAATTACATTTAAAGGTACAGGAAAATGCTAGACCATTATAGTGATACTTACTTCTTACTGTTTATTAGTGTACGCATTGCTAATCTGTTTTATAACAAAGTAAAACATGTTTAGCTCAAAATACCATCCTGCTTAATCATACTGAATTATGTCAGAGCATAGCGCAGGTAGGTTACCTGATGGGTAATAACTTTCCAAGCTGCAGTACTTCAGAGAGCATAGATTGTATGTTGATACTCCCAGACCTTTTCTGTTTTCATTCTAGCTATTTTCAGTCTAAAAGATCCTCTTGGCTTTCCTATAACTTTTGCACGTATTAGCTTTTGATTATAATGTGACGTTTCTCAGTTTCGTGGTTGGCATGTTTTTTCTTTTGAATTGCAGAGAGGAATGGCCATTTTATAAGTTGAGAGTGAAATTTTAATCAGTTGATATCAGAATTGCATGCCTTTGGCTTCCAATGCAAGCTTCTGAAAGGCTCAACACAGTTAGGAAATTTGCTAACAATGTGATGTGTTTGTTTGTTTTAGCAAATGAAAAATTGTTTGCTTGTTTTTCCACCACAAAAATAGTAGCGAATTTTATTAAATATTGACTTATTGATGTCTCCTGAAACATTTTGCTTCGAAGTCATGTAACTATAAACTGCATCTACCTAAGTTGTCATGTTGCCTTATGATAATTGCATGTTAGTGTTTCTGATGCCTCCATTACTTAATTCAGTGCTATAGTTGGACTACTGTTTCCTACTAACATAACTAGGTTTTGCCATCTACCAAGACAGATGTGGGCAAGAACTGACAACACTGAGATAATGAAGAGGTAGTGAGGAGAGACTGACTCGTACTGCTAAAAAAGGAATCTGGACTAATCTTGCGTATCACGAGATGTGACTGTTTTCCAAGACAATTGTATATTTGCTTGGGATCACTTCAGGGAAAGGAAAATAAGTTTGGGGGATTTATATGGCTTGAATGTGAAACATCTATACTTCAGATTTCTCTGTATGATGCTCAGCTCTTCCATAGTTTTGTCAGGAGATTGGAAGAGTCAGAGAAGAGACATGTTTTCTGGGTGTCTTTCACATGCTTCAGTTTCAGGTGCTAGAGAAGATTATAAGCTCTTTCTTGCTAATTAGAACTGTCTAGAAAAGATTAGTCAATAGAAACTGCATCATCAAAAATGGACAACTGTAGATTTTTATAATAAGGAAGCTCTTTCTGTGCCTTTGTTAAGAATATTTCAATTAACTACCTGAAGTTTGTTGCTCACTTTACAGTCAGCTCAAACCTCAGTGATACCTCTGTTCATGATCTTAGAATATTTATTTGCAGCAGTCATGTGTTGTCAGCATATTCAGTTGGCATAACACTTGGAAGTTAACAGAATCAATCTGTAGTGGAGTGGAGCACAAAAGAACAAATTAGTTACTGGCTTTGTCAGATATAAACCAGATAAGGAATAACAGTTGGTTTTGCTTTGGTCAGTTGGAATATATATACTATATATTTCTGATATTAATGCACTGATCTAACTTGAGAACACACAGGGAAAAGCATGTAGTACTTCAGTTAGAAGACTGCTTATCTGAGAATCCATTTGGGTATATTTTCCAGTGGTAGATCAGAGATGCAGTTGGTTTTGTTCAGCTGGGGTGAAAGGTGATCTGTGTTTTGTGGGTTTGGGGTTTTTTTTCTTTCATCGAAACAATGGTTAAGTTGCTGGGAACTGTCCAAATAGTTTCAGTAAATGCATTTACACTAGTGACCTAGTGCATGGGAAGTGGTCTTTTCTATGAATTTACTTCCTGTCTATACCTGGGAGTCTTGTGATGCACACAGAAGTATACTACTGGTGCTCAAATCAAGCTGCACATCAAGGTGCTATACAAAGTGCACTGCCTGCCATGTTGCTCTCTAAGTATGTGCAGTGTGCCTACTACCATCAGTCAATCATAGCATGTGTTGGTGGCAAAGACGCAGCACGAGCAAAACATGAGCTTACAGCCTGGGAACCAGAATGAATCACAGCAGCCTGAGTCTTGGTCTTTCCCTCCTTGTGCTACCCTGGTAGTGTAGACAAGAGCCAACTAGTTCCTACAGAAGCAAGCTCTCAGTGTTTCTCTGCCATAGCACTGCATGGTAACAGAGCATAGAGACCCATCCAGCTTATGTATATGTAGCCAACCTATGTACCAGTCATACTGTAGATCTGTGATAGCAAGAGCCTGAGTTCCCAGACAACCATTACAGATAATGCTGGAGTCTGTAGCTACAGTTTAATCAACAGAAGAATTAATAAGTTTATTCCCAGTCTGTGTATGTATGCAAGGGTGTTACGCCGTAGACAAAGAGGGAATTGTATTGTGTTGTAGACAAAGATTCACTTTTAGGTCCTTGTAGTGTACCAGTTATATTTATTAATTCATGTGAATTAATGTCTGAAGTCTGTCTTAAAAATCTTTTCATGAAATTCTGTTAGCTTGAATGTGACTGCATGATGAGTAGTAGTTCAGAATAATTGCAGGACCAGGGAGAGTGCCAGGTGGGTTGCCTAAAGACAATTATTGATCTAGGGTGCACACAATTTCCCTAATGTATGCAAATCTGGTTTTCTTAGTGCTGACAGTAGAGTAAAATTATGGGATGTGAGGAGAGCATCTGGATGTCTGACTACACTTGATCAGCACAATGGAGAAAAGTCCAAAGCATCTTCTGAGGCAGGTAATACAGAATATAACTGGTGGTAATCCATATGTAACTAGAAGCATTCTTAAATTTCATAAATGTGTTGAATACTGAGACCAGCAAGGAGAGTAGTGATAATCCAGTTGTTATCTACTGCGTAACACAGGCCATTGAATTTTATTCAGTTACTTCTGTTATAGAGACAGTGTTTGTGGTTGGGGATCTTCTTTAGAGACATCTCCTTGGCAACCGTATTGTATCTGTTCTGAATGGTTTTTTACCCTGAAATGGGAAATTTTGCCATCAGTTTTGTGGGCAGAAGAATGCATT